AGAGAGAGAGAGAGAGAGTGCGGTAGATGCAGCGCAAGTCTACCATAATCTTGAACTAATTCACACTCAAGTCGCCATCCCTGCATCATCCTGTTGTGGAGCATACGGTGGACATAAGCGAGACCAATGGTCGAGCTGTCGTAATGCGTCGTCATTACGCTTGCACTGAATGTGCAATAGATTTGCTGTCCGCATAAAAAATAATAATGAAGTCAAAAAGTATTGGTGCTCCGTTGTTTGTCCATGTGCATTTTAAATAAACTTTAAGTCTGTCAGACATGGAAATAGCCAGGTTATGTCTATAGTGGTTTCTTCAGTTGGATTATAATTCCCCAAAATAAAACTCGTTATGCGTGGAAGACTCCTTTTGCTTGTTGTGAATTCATGACCACTGTCCAGCCCGAGCCGCCTGATGGTTGTTACAATTGACTGGTGGAAAAGCTATTCCGTGGACTCTGTGGCTCCAGGAACCAGAGGTAAACTACAGACTGGCTACAGGAGGATTTTAATAAAAACACTCAGGTTCTGCAGTCAGGATAAACTCTTCGAAATTTCCTTGTCAAACGAGTTTCTGCATTTTTGCATACTTTACGAAGCAGTTCAGTCTAGTAATAAAAACTTTCGTCATCAGTGAAACGGCAAAACCAGTACATTCCTTACAAAATTAATCCGTTTCTCTGACATATATCACGATGTGCTAAGAATCGGGTCTTGGGAGATTTCTAAATACGGCGATAACTCGGTCCTCGTGGTTAGTATAACTGATTTACGAAAGCATTTAAATTCAGACTGCAATGACTCCTTTATATCTCACCATTGGCACTGTCGCAAATGAGCCTCGACCTGTCCCCATCAAAAGCTTGCTTATGATGATCAGGTCGTGTGTGGTACGCGTAGATGGACTGTTTAGCCTCGTCCGCCACTGCACCCGAGCCTACATTGTCTTGTCATTATCGGAGCAAGTTAGGCGAGAGAGGGAATGTGCGATAGTTACTTCGCAAGTCTGTCCCACTATAGACTAATCACACCAGAACTGCTCACACTTCATGGGATCAGTGTCATCGCTGGCGATGACCGTTGAATTGTAGTCCTCGTAATCCATCCTTCTCCACCCCTGAGACAGAATATATTTTCCTTCCTCACCTTCTGCCCCATCGCAACCCCTCTCCGATTTCCTTCAGGACCCCGATGCCAACGCCTCCTGCAAACGTGGCTTCCGCCTGCCCTCCAGCCTGCACTGTGACCCCCGCTTCCGGCGACGTCATATACGGCACCTGCTGGAGCGGGAACCGACCGAGCAGGAGGACGAGGAGGAGGAGGAGGAGGAGGAGGAGGCACTCGATAGTGGCAGAGTGAGTCTCAAGACGGTACCGGCGCCAACAATGCCTGGAGAGCTGGTCCCACCGTCTGAGGAGGGTGCACCCTCGCAACAACAAAAACAGCCCACTGTCATCACTGTTTCCGATGATGATGCTGCCTCAGCGTCATCTGCCGCGGAAGATCTCGTCTTTGGGGAGTTTACTTCATCTGAGGGTAGGTAGTTCTGGTGTATGTTTTGGTTTGGTCCCCTGAGCTGCGCCTTACATTCTTCTTTTTCTGGCGGCATATTATTTTTAAGAATTTCTGCATTCAGTCAACGTCAGCGTGCGTGTTTCTGCTAGCTTGCTCGCTAGCAGCATGCTGTCGACAGCGTCTCGTCATTGGCTGCCCGGCCGCACGTTTTCTTTAGATTCTGATTGGTCCACGTCCGCTAGAAGCGATTAGACTCTCCTAGGCTCTTGTCCTTTATGCTCATTGGGCAGAATGTTAGCCAACCTGAACGGGATGTGAGAACGAGAATGAGTTGCAGGTTTTAAAATAGTTTTTCATGGCCGATCTGGTTCTCTTTTTTTTCTCTATCGTTTTAGCAGTTGGGGCAAAAGTCGAGCACGCATACGGTTGGCGTTATTGTTACGTAGCAGGCCGGACCATTACAATTATCCTTCCTTCACGCCCTGTCTGTGTCATACCTCATATACGTCTACGTAAACGTTTCTGTATTCTTAGAGGGGTTTGGCAGATTTGCTTAATTTAGTTGACCCAATTGTGAAAAAAATCGCGGCCTCGGTGGGAGTCGAAACCATTAAGGGAGTTCACTTCTGCTGCTATTCATGTCGTACTAAGTGTGCCGATGTTGGCAGAGCTTAATTTCGTTTTTATTTATTTAAGAGAAATTCATTAGGACTGATAATCATTGTCCAAGGCGAACTTTCCAGCCTGGGGAACATCTAAAAGTCTTCAGGCGAACCAAAAGTAGGCTGCGTACCCTATCGTTCTCGGGGTTGGTTCTAACCATTTCCAGTTGTTGTAGTAGAGGTGTCAAAAATTGCAGGCCACTGAACACAACCACCACCTCCTATCTTAAATGCATCTTTTTTTCGCTCAGACTACCTCGTTGTTTTTCCCATCAGAGGCTCGCAATAGGCTTAAGGGAATGTAAGCGGTGCAACTGAAAATGTTTCATGTTCGCGCAGCTAAGTTTCCTTTTTGGTTGATTAAAACAAATTCAGTCGGAATTATAGGGGTTGTGTTCGGAAAACTTTTCAGTCCACAGCTATCATTAAGTGACTCTCGGATAATAGTTAAACCCTTCATCGTCTCGCCTAGGTCTCAGATTAGGTTTTGCGTATTTTAGATTTTGTGGGTAAAGACATCAAAATGCTCAGACAACTGAATAAAACCCTCCTCCTCCCACCTGAAATACTTGACCAGGGTCCTTCCCTTTATGTGACTCCCAAAGGGTCGCGCGGCAGATTCGCTGGACCAAAACAGGTGCCGGATCAGAGTAGGACAGGCGTTATTCGGGTTGTGCTTCCATAAAAAAACCGGACATGGGAGAGGGGGCCTGGTGGCACAGAGAGGGACGGCTTCGGCCGCTTGCGTCCGACCCCACCGATCCGATCTTTTTTACTGTGTCTTGACACCGGACTCAGTTTGGTGAGAGAAAATAAGGAGAGAGTGCAGTAGATGCTGCGCAAGCCTACTATAATTTAAAACTAGTTCACGCGTAAGTCACTGCACCACCCTGTGTGGAGCATACGGTGGACATCAGCGAAACCGATGGTCGAACTGTCCCTCCCATTTTGCACTACCTTTGTCTTCTTTTGCCTGTGCACTATTAGCCACCCTGCTGCGCACGACTCGACTTCTGCGTGGATCAAGGTCTCGGAGCAGGACGAAAACCCTGG